GCTTCTCTCCTACATTCCCTCCTACATTCCCTCCTTCCTTCCCTCCTTGCTTCTCTCCTACATTCCCTCCTTCCTTCCCTCCTTTATTCTCTCCTTCCTTCCCTCCTTCCTTTCCTCCTTGCTTCCCTCCCTCCTTCCTACCCCCCTTTCTTCTCTTTCTTCTCTCCTTCCTTCCTTCCTCCTCTCCTTTCCCTTCTCTCTGGAGGCAACGGGTTTAATTTCAGCGTTCAAAAAGCGTCCTGTGTAACAAAATTCTAGCAGTGCATCACCGACCTGCCTCTGGAAATTTAGCAGCCGCAGGGCTTTAAGTTCAATGGTTGCTTTGGTGCGCAGGTCTCCAGCCAGAGACCCAGGAAGATTTTCAAGTTCTTGGATTCTATGAGCGATGCGGGCCTGCAAGCTGTAGACGAAAGATTAGGACACCCAGTGAGCTTCGGCATGAAGGATTGCGTACATCCAACAAGAAAGGCAAGAACTCCACTGCTGATCTCCGAAAACGCTTGTTCCCAATACAGTGCCTTAGGAATGATGGGAATTTTAATTCAAAGCATTTGAAAGGCACCTCCCAACGACCAATAAGATCGCACAGGTCGGGCCTCCTCCGGGTGCTGTCGACCGGACAATGCCTGCTGGCGGCACCCCAAGGGAGGGCTTTCTCTGTAGCTGCACCGGCCCTGTGGAACGATCTACCCGCAGAGATCTGGACCCTTACCACTCTCCCAGCCTTCCGTAAAGCGACCAAGACTTGGCTGTTCCAGCAGGCCTGGGGCTGTTGATTATATCCAACCCCCACTTGACTGTATGGATGATGTATTAATATTAAATATTGTATCTTTTTAAATTTTTAAATGTTTTATTTTGCTGTGAGCCGCCCAGAGTCCCAATGGGACTGGGCGGCATACAAATTTTATTAAAGTTACAAAGTCACTGCTTTGAGAAGGTCACATGTAATGCCGAACAGCTAAAAGTGAGACAGACACACTAGTTCAGGACTTGGGGGTTCCTTAAATACTTGGGAGGTTCCATGAAAGACTAAAAACAAAAAGAAAAAAACTCTCCCACCTTAAAAAAAAATCCTTGAATATAGCCAGGGACATACATAGCAAGTTTTCTTATATACAGAATAGCAATAGCAATAGCAGTTAGACTTATCTACCGCTTCATAGGGCTTTCAGCCCNGTTGCCAAGGTTGAGAAACACTGGTTTAATGACATCTCAAATTGGTGCCAACGTTTACAAATAAAACCATAAAAGATGTATTATTAAACATGGCAGAAATTTCAGTCCCTGGAAGACTGACACGGGGCACATCTCAAATCAAAGATTTACACGGGGCTTGCCTTCTGAGTGATTTCACTGATCCGAACAGGTTGATTTAACTCATTTACCTTCTTTTTCTTCTTCTTCTTCTTCTCCTTTGCCACCTGTGCAGCCTTGTGCTGTCTCACCAGTTCTGTGAGGTTGGCCACATATTCATCCGTCTGCTGAAGTAGGTAGGCTAAGCGTTTATCTTTTTTTTGATCAATAAGCTTTCGGTACCCTTCTTCATCCTCAGCCTGTAAAATACACAGGCGCAACTTATAATTTCCTGAAATTATACTGGGAGGAGGCATGTTAAATGATCAGCCGGATCCATTCTGCACACGGACGTAAAAAAAATCCATACCATCAACCGGCGCATTCTCTCCTTCTCAATTCTCTCGTTCTCCTTCTTTTGTTCACGCTCCGTATTCGCGTGATAAGTGGCCACCGCCTTTGTCAGCTTCTGAATCTTGCCGGTGACTGATCGATGGTATTCTTTGAAATCCTTGGCATGCTGGAGAATGCTGTTGAGGTACTCCTAAAAAAAAAAAAAAGAAGTTACCATATTTTTCGGAGTATAAGACACACCGGAGTATAAGACGCACCAAGGTTTTGAAGAGGCAAATTTAAAAAAAAGTTTTTGCACTCTGCAAACTTCCCCAAAATGGCCAGTTTTTTGTGAAAAGGGGCCTGTCCCCCCCATAAAAGGCATGAATAGCCTCTAGGGGGCTTGCAGAGTGCTCCTGGGGGGGAGGGGGCAAAAACAAGCAAAAAATGGCATGTTTTGCGCAAAAAAAGAGGCATGGATAAGCTTTAGGAAGCTTATAGAGTGCTCCTGGGGGTGGTGGTAAAATTGAGCAAAAAACGGGCCGTTTTTAGCTCGTTTCTGCGCTTCCCGGCCCCCAGGAGCTCTCTAAAAGTCTCCTAGAGGATCTGCACAGCCATTTTGGTGAAGGGGGCGGGGTTACAGGAGGCAAAAAAATGCTGTATTCAGTGTATAAGATGCACCCAGATTTTCAGCTTCTTTTTTGAGGGAAAAGGGTGCGTCTCATGCTCCGAAAAGTACGGTAATAGAAAATAGCTTAATGAATGAGCCATGCGTGGGTTAGGGCAGTGCTTCTCAATCTCAGCGACTTTTGAGCTGTGTGGCTTTCAACTCCCAGAATTCCCCAGCCAACATGGCTGACTGGGGAATTTTGGGAACTGAAGTCCACATAGTTTCAAATTGCTGAGATTACACTGGATTAGAGGTTGTTTGTATCACAAGCATGGTATCAGTAATTACATAGTATGCTGGTGTTAAGTCCTTATTCAAGGTTTTGGAAGGTGTTTCACTGGCCACAGCCTAAGGCACATTTAGCTCATCCACATTTAACAATGGTTAGCTACTGTCCAAACATACATCTTTGTATCCTTTATTTATTACAATATATTTATTGACAAGCTAATAAATGTATTGCATTGATTATTTATCCACTCTGGCATCCTATTGCAGGTTGTCCTTAACTTACAACCATTGGTTTAGCGACTGTTCAAAGTTACCATGGCACTGAAAATATTTGGAAATGTTTATTCCATTTGTATGCCGCCCTATTCCCGAGGGACTCAGGGTGGCTAACAAACAAAGGTGGAGGGGAATACAAACAACAAAACAAAAAGACAAACAAGTTAAAAACAAAGCAACAGTCGCAACCATTCAAGCGGGGCTGGGAACTCATCAGCCCCAGGCCTGCCGGAATAGCCAGGTCTTAGTGGCTTTGCGGAAAGCCTGAAGGGTGGTGAGGATCCGGATCTCCACGGGGAGACAGCTGGTCTTTGGGTTTCCGATGCTCCCACACGTACAAATGCACACATGTTCCGGGGTTTGGGCACTCAGTGTCGAAAAGGCTCGCCATCACTGGCATAGAATATTGGCAAGAGAACTTTCCAAA